AAAAAGTAGAAATTAGACTATTTCTTAAATCTCTTAGATGTTTGTACATTCAGATCATCATCATTCCCTGTCCCTTGTAAGGAAAATAGAAGTTGTTTTGGTTTTTTTATTTGAGATACCATTTTATTTCAATTTATGAAGCATTTGAAGCCTTAGCTTCCAATGCAGTGTCGCTTTAGACTGGATTTTCTGTTTCCATGGAGGCTGCTTATAAGGGTTGGTTTTGATTCGCCCTAATATATATCATTGAAATGTAGCCCCCAGAATTTAATGTAACAGTGCTTTGTAGTTAGATATAGCATACAGTGAGGTTTTTATCTCCCTTATTTTGGAAGCTATGTGCTGACTAAAGTAGCTTAAAATTGCATTTGCACTTTGGCAGTCACATCACACTATTGACTAATATTGAGACTTCCCGCAACTAAAATCCCAACATCTTTCTGACATGTGCTGATAAGCTGCATAATCCTCCAACCATACTTGTGCAGGTAGCTGCAATAAACTCTATTTTTACCCCTGCTTTTGTCCAGCTTACAAGATAGCCTTCTAACAGAATACTACACCTCCAAGTTTCACATTATCTGCAAATGTGATGCCTGCTAGGAAGCTATGACCCTATAGGAGATTTGGATACAGAAAGCAAATGAAGATGCACTGCTGATGTGTCATGAAGTGAAAAACAGATGCTCCCCTAAAGGAAGAGCATGTTACACATCTCAGAAGAGTTGGTATAAACTGAATTTTTTCCTCCTCACCCAAAATTCATATTGAATCCCTAGCCTGTGTGTCTAATGTGGTACTTGGATATGGCCTTTGGGAGGTAATTTGGTTTGGACGAGGTCATAATAGTGGAGTCCTCATGATGGATTAGTTCTCGTATGAGAAGAGGCACCAGAGAGTTTGCTGTCTCTCTTTCTGCTATGAGATGACAACCATCTGCAAGATAGGAAGAGAATCCTTACCAGAATCCTTTTGGGATGGTACCCTGGTCTTATCTATGTAGCCTCTAGAACTGTGAAAAACAAAATTTCTTTGTTTAAGTCACCAAAGCTATTCTTTTGTTATAACATCCCAACCTAGTTAATTCAAAAGTAAAACACAAAGTGATTGATTTTGAGAGGTGCCTTTACACTTTTTTTGATTGGTTAAGATAATAAGACTCATAAGAATTACACAGAGGTAACTTTTGGTACATGTTACCTAACTGAAGAACTTTGTCTCCAAAAGCAATGAGAACTATGACTGACATTTCTAAAATAACTATTCATGAAGATTGTTCAAGATTAGGAGACTCCTCTGTTTGAAGGCAGAAGACATAAAATCATTCAGAAGCCTGACATTGAATTTGATGTATTGGGGTGATACAGTTATGTTGAGACTCAGAAAACAATGCACAAAGTATAGCACTTGACATACAGGGTACTTTGACCCAAAAGACATTGGAAAGCTGCAGTAGCTACCTAATAACCAAGGCCTCCCTGACCTGTTCTCTCCTGGAGCAAGTCACAAAAACCAAAATTTCTCTTCCCCAAGATAGGTTATAGAAACTAAATCTCCTTTTGCCCAAAGCCACACATAAAAACTAAAAGTATTACTCTTATCTCTCTTTGCTTTTCTGTCCCAGAGTTGGTCATAGATAAATTCTCTGACTTAACCCTGGTGTGATGAGAAGGTCATAAGAACCTCATTCCAGAAGGGTCTTGCTTCAAAGCTAAGAAGAAATGCTGCAACTGAGAGGCCAAAACAATCTGAACAGACTGCCAGGTTTCCGCTTTGGTCTGTTATTATTGCATCATACCCTTATTGTCCAGGAACATGTTAGCTTGGTTCTCCTTGCTTCATAGTACCTAAGCATGAAACATCTCAGTCTTTGGGTCTTTGTTTGGAAAGATGCCACACAGCATAAAACTATCACTAAGTAAATTTTCATGCTTTTCTCTGGATAACCTGTCTTTTGTTATAAGGGTGTTGGCCACAGCCCCAATTATGGGAAAGAAATGGATCCCTTTCCTCCACTACAGTTGAAAGAGCAATTCATTAAGATGAAAGTCAATGATGAAGAGAATAGTTCTGGAGACTGAGTATTTGAACAGGAATGTTTACAGAATTGGCATTACAAAGTGCAATGGATGAATACTATTGAATTTCATGACTAATTTCACAGACTGGAAATAATGTCAAAGGACACAGGGGATTGCTTAGGGTGACAAAAATATAGTCAGAGAGCAGCATTGATACAGAAGGATGATTGTTCACTTTTTCATGGCATGACTTAAATTGTTGTAGGACAGATAAACACAGAGAGGAAAGATAACAGTAACACTGATTTAGGTGAATTTAATGTTATAATCATATACTATATAACAGTTAATACTTAAGAGACTCATGTTTGTTTTCTCATATATTCCATTACAAAAATAAATCTCCATTCATTTTTCTTCCCTTACAAGTACAAGTAGGATAGGCTATTCATTGATGTAATTTTTTTAAAGTTTTGTTCTTTATTTTATTCAAGAAATGAGCTAGATCTTCTGAGAGCATTTCTATATTAGGCGCAGAGCTTTGCTGCTGTTTTTAAGCTAAGTTAAACATAAATAGGAGCTCTCCCCATTTCCATTGAAGTGTCACTCAGCTGAGTTACCCACGCTAGAGAGGAGGTGGTTCTCTCTTACAGAGATTCGTCATGCTGAGTTTTATACTTAGACATTTTTCTGAGAAATGAAACAATTCAAATTTTCCAAATTGTTTGTCTGATGGTAGGTTTTTTCCCTTTGATTTCTATATTAAATTTAACTTTTTTTTCTTTTATCCCACCTTTCGGCCTATGTGTTATATGATCACTTGCAAATGTCCCAATTGGTGGCAGGCAAGTACATATATTAAGATAAGAACATATGCAAGTTTGTATAATTTTAAATAACAGATTTATTCCTCAAGTATACAAAAACTTCAGGAATTATTCACAGGATGTTTTTTAAAGATCATGATAAAAAATGCCCATTTGAATATAGTACTCTTTGCATAATATACAGAACATTTAAAATGTGGCATCTAGAGCCTCCAAAATTCTTAAATAAATACTCTAGAAAATGAACTATAGTTTTAAAGATAAAAAAAATAACAAAAATCATTTTGCCTCACTCCTTACTATTAAGGTGTCTGACAAAAACAATGAACTTAATAATTAAAACTAACAAGCTGGGTTACTCTTCTATTAAGTCACTGAGCCACAACCAATGAACTAGGAATCAGCAATTTTTTTCCTGAAATTCTGGGAACTCCATGTTAAAAGTGTCCCATGACTTCTGAACTCATTTAACCCATACAAAACTCTTTTGTCATTTCCTTAGACACTGAATATTCTGAAACAGTAAAGTGTTGAGTGATATGGGGGTTAGAAGCACTGGTGCCCTGCACAGCTGAAAAGCCAATGTAACCTAAAGATTTAAGTTTTTATTAGAAGGCTTGCAGTTGGTTGAATTTTTTGAAAAAAAAAAAGGTCATGTGATAAAGTTTTATGACAAATTATCAATAAAGATTAATATATGTCAAGTTAGCCAGATAGGAAACAATTTTATCACCTTCAAATGTGTAATGAGAAAAAGAGAAGACTTTTTTAAAGGAAATATGCTTTTCAATACCAAAATGAGACATCTTCAGGTAACACTAATAAAAGCCTCATGCTGCATAGATAATGAAGAGAAGATTTTTTGCCTACTGGTCAGTAGGCAAACACAAGCCCTTAAGGTTTCCAACTCAACTCTTGTTCTTTTCACACTGGTGAAATTGCATAATGACTTTCTCTTGGATGACCAAGGATGGTAGATGGACTAGGCAGGTATTACTAGCCCTCCCCTGCTGAGACTTAGAAATGAATTAATTCTCAGCTGAAAAATCAGTTTCTTTTATCTCTTTGCCATCTTTCAATTTAGGGGTTTTTCTGTGCTGTGTAGGTAGTTGTAGTTGCAGCTGTACTAATGTTGGTACCTTGGGATTCATCTTGATATTTCTTATCTTTTTCATTTCTATCCTGTCTAGGGCCCCAAAGACTCATGGGCTATAACCCTGATACGTTCCTTCTCACTGATCTATATTGTTCTCTATATTGTCTATATTGTTCTCTTTCAACCTGATTGTCAGCACCGCCCAGCGCTTCCTTCTGCACAGGAAGGATGTAATACTGTGGTATGCCTATAGCATCTGTGCATCTAGTGAGGTAGGAAGCTTCTTCACCCAGGGCAGGGCTAGTGTTGCTAAACCTGACTTTTAGAGCATTCTATGATGGTTTGTTTGTTCTTTCCCTGCTCTAATTATTCTGGTATTTCTGCTAGTAATTGTGAGGAGGACCCCTGTGATGTGGACTTCATATATAATGGTTATAGACTATAGCATATTCACTGCCTTGAACTAGAACTCCATCCAAGCCTGTAACAGTGGCTTCCTCTTCGCCTATTTCTCCTTGGAAAACATCAAAGCACAGTGTCTCTCATGGGAAATCTGTACTCTAAAGGTATTTCCTGGCATTTTTTAGGGCATTTCATGTACACATATATCTTCCTTGAAATTATTCTTATTGATGAAAGCATATCCATTTCTTCTACTGAATCATATTACTGTTTTAAAAACCGTTATTGTGATGATATTGTCACTGTTGGCAGGCATGACCAGTGTGAAGCCTCCTGAGCTGCTACTCCCTGTGCCACTGTCCATTGTAACTAGCTTGGTGCAGGCCACATTGAGGGCAGGCAACTGCTTGCAGCTGCTAGGGGCAGCTGCTGGGTCTCAGTTTGGGGTAATGACGGTGCCGATAGTGACTGGAGCAGGCTGCAGCTGCTTTAGCTATTCCTGGGGTAGGATGATAACTAGGTCAGCAGTGGTAGTGGGGCTGCTCAGGGCTCTCTGGGGTCTCCTCTCTGCTCCTGGTTTAAACTCTGCTTATAATTTTTGAATCCCACAAAACTATTAAGCATCTGCTGTTGACCAATAAAATAAACAGTTGATTAGCAAGTTTTGTTTATTACATGTATTATATGCATTGAAAAATTGCAAGAATTCTGAGAGATCCCTTTTTACTGCAATATGCAATTTACTGGAGAGACTAACTGCTCCCGTGGAGATGATTAGCATCACACCATGTTATAAGCAGATACAACACTTGAACTCACCACATGGCAACAGGAGGAGGCCAGGAAATTATTACAGTAGTACAGTATGTCCAAAAATAAATTTTATTTAGTTATGACTTCATACTGCCTCTTTACATTTCTCTGCACTGCTACTAATGCCATATACCCTTGTATGGTAAGATCTTGTGTATGTAAATTGTAGATTGCTTTATGTTTTATGGTAGTTAGTGATAAAATAGACTACCCTATCTATATATTTTGTCCTGTAATGACATGCCCTTTTCAATATTTCTAGGCTATGCACTTCTATGAGTATTTTAGGAAGTTTTTCGTTGTTGTTGTTGTTGCTGTGATTAAAGGACCTGACCAGAACAACTGTAAAGGAGGAAAAGTTTATTTGAGGACTCAGGGTTTCAGAGATCTCAATCCATTGATAGCCAGATCCATTCCTTGGGGCTCCAGGTGAGTCCAAAGAGTATGATACAAGAAAACAACTCACATGATGATCAGAAAGCAGAGAGAGATTTTTCACTTGCCAAATACAAATATATACCCCAAAGCCTGTAGATTGTTTTATGTTTTATGGTAGTTAGTGATAAAATAGACTACTATATCCATATATTTTGTCCTGTAATGACATGCCCTTTTCAACATTTCTAGGGTAGGCAGTTCTATGAGTTTTTGCAAATTGTCATTGAACTAAAAAAAAAAAAAAGTTCAAGTATAAATCGACCTTCACAGTTCAAACTCATGTTGTTCAAGGGTCAAAGGTAATGACTAGAAAGCAATTTGGCACTAAGAATAAAAGTATTAAAAGTACAAAATAGCAGAAATTATCTGAAAGCTTTGTGAATTGACTTTCAGGCAAGAAAGATCAATCTTCATATTTCTGTAACTTAACTGAGATCTAAACACTTGTGATGACCTCATGTTCACTTCAAAATATATCTACTTTTAAACATAGCTTTTGGTCATCAGTCAAAATTAGGTGATAATTTTGTTATTGTTCTATAGACATCTTAAAAAGCAGTTTAAAAGAAAATAATCGGGAATTTTTTTTTAATTTTTGAAAGTGACATATAATTAAATATTTTTAAGCAAGGGCATATCATTGGACCCCATGTGAATCAGAGCGCTTTGTTAACTGCCATATAAGTTATACATCTTGATTTGTTTTATCTACATTCTTTCCTCCAGTTATTTTGAAAATCCTATAAAGAATTCATGACAGGAATTCAATCACTCCAACAAATTTCAAAGGGCCACAGTGTGTACACGGAAAAAGTTGGTTTCCTGTTAATTAAATTCAGCCCAAGAAATAATGAAGGTCACTCTCACATTATTATTTACTTCTTTGGATTTAACATGAAGTAGTAGTTAAGATTATGAATAATTTTTCTTTAGAAGCCATAATATTCTATCCATTGATGTTACAATTGCTACATTAGCAGAATTTATAATTGAACGCCTAAGAAAACAGAAAGTAGCAGCATTCATTACCATTTTAAGGCCTGGTATAGAATGAAGAAAATATTTTTCAAAGGGAAATAGATCACTAATGCAAATTATATTAGTAACATTCCATTAACTTATAAAATTGCAACAACTTTGCTGATTTATTTTCAAATTATCCAAAATCACATATATTTAGTTACAGTTACCTTTTCTTTTATCACAGGTTCATCTGTATAGGTTATCACTTGGCAAAATAATCAAAACCTTATTCAATTGTTTTATTGAATTGATCACTCCAAAATGTAACAGCTATAGAAAGTTCATTTAAATGTATATGTGTGTGTTTGTGTGTATATGTATACACAAACCTCTCTATATACAAACCTCTGTATATCTTTTTCTACTTCTATTCATTTCACATACTGATTTGTGTTGATGTTGACATGGCTGTAGTACACACAAAAAAATTGCCATGTATATCTTTCTTTAAATAACACAATTTAAAACAGAGCCAAAATGGAAATACTGTGATATATGTTAAGGCATATATACCAATACTCCACTGGTGTGACATTTTAAAAGGGCATTGTAAAGGCAACCAAAAAAATCAGATTTGGTGATTTTTTTAATTATGTGAATTAAGGTCTAAATTAGACTTTGAGGACCAAGATGGCATTAAACAAGCTCCATTGGTATCACCATTGTGTTCCCAACATCAGTTACACTGCCTGATGCTAAATAGATATTGAATAAATTGAGAAAATAAGTGGAATTCTTTAGAGAGTTCTCAAAGGGAGTAATAGAAATCGATATACTTTTGCACAATTTAAGAATTATTGAAATTAAGTTAACAAGGTAATATAAACATTTTCAACATAAGACTGGATAGCCTAAAATGTCACATATTTATGTTTGGACAGAATTTAATGGACGAAAGGATAACGTTTTTATGGTAGTCAAAAATTTTGACTATACTTTGTAGAAGTCTTTGGCTAACAAAAATTGTAAAGGGGCTAGGAATGTGGCTCAACTGGGAATGTGCTCACCTGGCATGTGCGGGGTGCTGGGTTCAATCCTCAGCACCATATAAAAATAAAATAAAGATGTTGTGTCCACCGAAAACTAAAAAATAAATATTAAAAAATTCTCTCTCTTAAAAAAATTGTAAAGCAAGTAATTACTTCATATACATTAGATAACATTGTTCCACTAGAAAAGGGGATAATGGAAAGAATCTTTGATGAATAAAGCTTGCTGTCTTAATGGGTTTTAATGTGTTAAAGAAGGCATGTGTCACTCTCCTGGGTCCACATTAGAGTAGACAGGGTTAGAAGTAGTTGTCTTCAGGTATTTGATCAAAGGTGCAAAAGAGATTGAGTCAAAACAACTTCATAAGTACTACAGATATTGCCAAAGAAAAACCTCATCAATTATAAGCAGACCTATTTTACATGTGAATTATTGGTTTAGATATGAGATGTCTCCCAAAAGCTCCTGTATGAGATAATACAAGAAGCTTACTGTGAAATGAGAGCTTTAACCTAATCAGGGCATTAATCACCTGGTAGAGATTAACTGGGTGGAAACTGTAGGTAAATAGGGTATGCCTGGTGGAGGTGGGTCACTGGGTGTGTGCTTTGGGTTTGAATTTTGTCCTCTATGAGCAGAGCTTTCTGTCTGCTTCCTGGTTCCATGTTCCCAGCTGCTTTCTTCTGCCATACACTTCTGTGATGATGTTCTTCTGCCTCATCTCAGGCCCAGAGTCATGAAGCTAGCCATCTGCAGACTGAGAATTCTGAGACCTTGAGCCCCCAAATAAAGTTTTCCTCCTCTAATCTTGTTCTTCTCAGGTATTTTGGTCATAACAGTGAAAAAGTTGACCAAAACACTCATCTATGAAAAAGTTATAGAAAAAGGGATGTGCAAAGAAAGTCAAACACTGGAATATTATACCATGAAGAGACTCCATTCTCAGAAGAGTAAAACGCCAAATAGATCCTTAAGCTGTGGCACTTCATTGAATCTTTCATTTCCAGTGTTTTGCATTTGCTACTTGGTTTACTTGCTTTTCATAATTGAGTAGCCAGGAGATGGGTTTGAATCCAATTGGAATCTAATTAAAGTTAAAAAAAAATCATTACTCAGGTAATTTTAATGATTTCCATCTAAATGTACCGAATTGATAAACTTTGTTTTTAATGACTCGTGTCAGCACTTTTGAAAATAATTTTCCATTTTTTATAATAATATAGAGATGATATGACAAAATATTCAAATCATCTTTCTTACCAAATACTTTTGTTGGGCAAACGCAACAAAAATCGGGACAGCATCTCCTTGAGAAAACTTAGAATGTTCTTTAGCCTTCTTTAGGGATATAACAAAAACACAGTTTAATTAGGTAATATAAAAGGGACACAGGAGCTCACTTTGTCAATCTAAAAGCAGAGGATCTTTGCTCCTGACCTCATATCAAGAAACTATTTTGAATGAGGCAACCTATTTTTTCTCTTTTGAGAAAACAAGTATAGCATGTAAATGTTTCTTTGGGGAAAATTTGAGTTTACTCTGTTTGTTCAATAGCAATATACTAACATTGTGAATAATATAATATAAATATTAAAACTACTAATAAATGCTATGAATAGTTTCCAAACTTGAAAACAATCATACATTATCTCTTTATAATTTGTGAGTCTTTTAGCTGTACAAAATGAACACCTAGTGCAAACTCTATACTCTATTGAGCTTATATTCAGAAAACCAGTAGTGACATGGGTGTCTTTATTGACAATAAGGTAAGCACTAAACAGAATGTAACAAACTCTTATTCTTACTATTTTCTGGAGAAGAAAATAGAATGTGATGCATTTAAAGATTAGGTTCAAATGGAGTACTTCTCTGTGCATTTATATGTATTGCTTCCTTTCAGACAGGCTAAGCATGCCAGATAAAGATAGAGAAAGCAAAAAATCTAATGGTATTAGTAAACACAAAAACTGAAGAATATGAATCGTGATGACAGCGCACTTTAGTACTGAACAGTAAAAAGATGGACCACTCTCACTTAGAGCTTGTACATACCCTGGCTTTGGCCTACTGGGTCACTGTAAAATTCTGTGCTGCAGAATTTGTTTGTTTGTTTAACTTAAATATTTGCTCTAAAGAACTGTGGACCTTGTGTGGTTTTCATGGCTCAATCTATAACTATAAATTATCTGTAATATAAATATGTTTAATTACTGTTTTAATTTAGGGGGGTGATAAATCCGGGACACATGTAAAGTTAAAAGCATTACAGAACCCTCAACTTCTATCTGCCAAACAATCATTGTATAAAAGTCTAAATCTATTAAGCATCTATTTTTTTTCAATTTGTTAAACATAATGTATTAAACAACCAGTAGTAAGTCTCTTCATATTTTAGAAAAAATTAAGTGTTTCTTTATATAAATAAGAAAAATTGAGGATCTGAAATCTTTCAGGCTTTGTGCAATGTTCTCACATTTAGAAAGGAAATAATACACACAATAAAATAAAGTCATTGTGATGCTATGCAGTGCATAAAAATGAAAACCTCCAGCATATCCAGCAGAGGACATTTTTAATTCTAAAATCTACTTCAACCAATATGCTGAAACTGGAAAGTGCTATCATGTAAAACCTTCTTTAGCCATTCCAGCCGGTTCAGCCCTTTATTGAACTATTACGGGAGCTTATTCTTTTAAAAAAATATACTCAAAATAATCGCATGATGTCAAAAGACCCATAATGGCCATCTCGACATCTGTTCTCTCTTCCTTCCCTCAGGCCTTTCCCTTCCCCCAGGCTTTTCCCTTGATTCATCCAATTTTCTTCTTTCCTCACTAGCATTTCTGTGCCACTTTTTCTCACCACTCCATATGCTTAGGAAGTCTTCCAGACTACACTCTTCGAGCTATTACAGCCTCCTCCATATACCCCAAAAAGCAACCTGCTCAAACATTCCAACCACGACCTTTTACAAGTCACCGTTCTCCCATTTATATTAAAATGTCTTATTTCTTTTCCCCCCTCAGGGCCAGCACACCTGAGATCAGGTATTTATTATTAATCGATTGCAGAATGTTTCATAATTTATTTATTACATTTCTTATGAATGACTGATTATTTTTAATCACAGCAACTCATTATGCCCTAATAGCATAGTAAAGCCAGGAACATTATGACTTTATTAATAGAATAAGTTCTGATTGTTTTTAACATCAGCTATAGTTGTCACATGAAAGAGAAGATGAAATGCCTTAAAATAGATGTAAATTTTTATCTAAAATATATTTTAGGTGTATAAATATTTAACTAGGCAAAGCAGTACCAAATTATAAATTGGAAGCAGAAGCCGGGATTTCAAGGTCAAATAGTGCTTTCCACTTAAATGTATATCACCTGAATCTTTTGGAAATTTTTGTCATTTCTAATGTATGCAATGAATGAGAAAAATGGCTGAATTATATGCTGCATTTTTAAATGTATGTATCATGTATTCTCATAACACTCATTTCTTGGCATGGGGACTAGAAATTTAAGCAAGAGAAAGGCTAGTTCATTTCTTATGTCTGCAGCTAGATACACACACTCTGAAGTAAGTGTCTTGGGTTTCTGAGTTTTGATTTTCTCATTTAGCAAAGAGGGATATCATCCAACTTGTTATTTGAGTTGTATAAAGTATTAAATGTATAACATAATAAATGTCTATAGAAAGTGAAAGTACTAAACAAGTAATGCATCAGAAGGTGTGCTGTGGGTAACAAAAACATTTCCAAACTTTGAAACATCCAAAGCCAAATACAATTGCATTTATTCACTCTTCAACTTACCACTTTCTGTGGAGGCTGTCTTGATAGACCTACAGTGGCTAGCTAAAATGAGGGTTTCCTTAGGAAAACAGTGTCAGTCCTTAGAAAATATAAAGATATATTTCCTAGAAAGAGTAGAAACAACAACAACAACAAAAGCAGTTTCTTCATGAGCAATAGAGAGACTAAAATATTTCTTAAATACATGTTTGCTCTAAATGTCTATGAATCTGTAATTTTAAGTTGACCTCTGTTAAGCTGCTTTCATGAGTTTAGTGTCTGGTGTCTTGCTACAAGGTTGTGAGAGTGTGACAGTATTCATAAAGGCATATTTGTAAGAAAAAATGAACTCCATGATAAAGAGGCAAGAGAATGAGATGCAATGTGAAGAGAAGAAAACTGGAGAAGTCTTCTGTACAGAGCTGTTAGTAACTTAGAATCAGAGAGCATGAGCTGATAAAATAAAATGGTGTGAAGCCAAGTGATGAACTAGAAGTGGCCTATAGTCTGACGCCCAAATAAACTTATCAAATGAAAACATCAATGCCTAACTCAGAGACCAACATAAAAGAAATAGAACAAGGCAGAAGGCCCACACCAAGATAGCTGTTTACCTAACAACTGAAAAGGGACATTAAAGGTCCCAAGGAATCTATACTTTGTCGAAGATGAGAAATATCATATTAGATTGAAAGGGAAAAATGGCCTAAAATAAAAGCATGTATCTAAATCCTCATAACAACAAAGAAAACAAATAATCCCTTTAATCATATGTGTATTTATTAATTGACAGGTGCAATTACTTGTAGTGATGTCAAGTGAATCTTGTTGTTTAGAGCAGCACTACCCTAAATTATTGCTACTTATCGTATGTACTCTTTAATGTAAATAATAATTAAATAAAATTTAAAAATTAGTTCCTCAATTACACTACTTATTGCTCAAAAAACGCATGCATTGGTTGATATATAGAACATTTCTATCATTGCAGAAAATTCCTTAGGGGGGTGCTGCTTTAATATAATACAGTTTTCCCAAATATTAAGACATATATGTATATTTCTTAAGTGACAAAAATTATATACAAGCCCACTACATAAATATAACATTTGACTGGAAAAAAAGGATACAAATATAAAAATATGCACCTTTTAATAATAAATGCAGCATACAAGTGTTAAAATTAAGTCAAAACATTTTTGATATCAAGGGTTTAATTTGATCATTTCATTTTTTACCTCTTAAATCTTACTACGGAATCTCACATTTACAGAATAATTAGAGGACTGGGAATAGGTTGGAAGCCTCATCACTACATTGGGATATGTATTGCTATTTTTAGATTAATGCCATTCAGTAGCCTCTGTTTTATCAGTTCTGTAGCACTGGTGTCTAGCAGGCACTCATTGCATGCTTGTGGATTGAAGAAACCTCTCATCTAGTTCTGACACAAGATCATTCAGCATCTGCTTCAACACTTACATTGGCAAGAGATTTACCACCTCATAAGGGAAAGCATTCCATTTTTAACAGTTCAGTTTAGAAAGAAGTTACTTCATTACAGAAAATCCAAATTTACCTGCTTATATAACTTCCATTAATCTTATGTTTTGTCAGATGAAGTTTAAAAGAAGAAGTTTATTTCTTTTTCTATGCAAAAGTCTTTGAAATACTTGCAGGTAATAATAACACTTAACCTACCAAATTTCCTTATATGGAATTATTTCCAGACACTTCTTTGTCCTCTTCTAATTTTACAATGTCTTACAAAAAGCAATGTTCAATACATTACATTATCTTCCAGCTGTTCTGATCACTGCAGAGAACTGTGGGAATTACTGCCCACCCCCACCCCCCACCGTGGCTTCATACAGTATACTTCTAATAATGATGCCCAAGATTCCATTAGCTTTTCTTGGCATTCTCATCACAGGATGACTCATAGTACACTTACAATCAGCTAAGAGTTCCTAAGTCTTTAAGATGAGATGTTGTCAAATCTTGACTCCTTCGTCCTTGGTTCTTGTAGTTGGCATCTTATATCTGAGTGGAGGACTTTATTTCATGCTGATGGCTTAGGCATATTGTTTCCATCAGTCAACTTTCTCTAAACTCTGATTCTGTCAATCATCCAATATATTAGCTGTCAATTAAGCTTTGTGTTGCATGAAAATATAATAAGCATAATCTATATATCTACATCAAATCATTGATTAAAAAATAGTCCAAGGACAAATATCCACGTACAACACCAGAAAACTCCTTCTAAGTTCAACAT